TTTTTAAACTGTTGCACCTAAAGAGAAAATGAAGATTACACAGTACACAGTTACAAGCCTCAACATTAAAAGCATTACCTTGACAGCATCAAAATACTGGCTGAGTTGTGCTCTCTTTTGCTCATACTCCACTTCCAACTTGCGGAGTTCTTTATAGATGTCAGGATTCTCCTTCTCATAGAGCCGTAAGATACGCTCAAAAGTCTCACGGAGCTTCTTGCGTTTATCCTTTAGCACTTTTTCATTAAGCTGTGGCTGCTGCACTGGGTTAAACTCTAATCAAAGACAGCAAAAGCAAGCCAAAGATTCAGAAGTTACTCTACTCCACAACCACGATTAATGGAACAACTTCAAACCACTTTCAGTTCCTATTTTCAGGAAGTCTTCCGCATCAAGACCAATTATAAGTCACTTACATACTTAGTACTCAGCATTTGACAGCTATCTTCAACACCCAGTACCTCCCCTGCTCACCCATCTCATCCAATTTTTCCATGTCTCGGATGATCTGCTTTGGGTCTTTCATCTTCAGTACAGCCGCTCGTACCATCATTCGTTGCTTTTTGTTCTAAGAAGATCAGAAATCAAGGAGATCAGAAAAGTGACACAAGAGAAAGAAAAGCTTTTTGCTAAACAATCCTCTGTCAACACTCCCAATCTAATAGAAAAAAGAAAAAGGCACCTCAAAATGCCTTGCAGATATTAACCACAGCACAAATCAGCAGGAGAAGTTTTGAATATCTCTAGGAGTTGTAATTCCCCTATCTCACTATTTACAGATGGTTCTATAATTCATACATTCCAATGAAGACACATACAATCAGTAAAATAAATCAACTGACAAGAACAGTAAAACGAATCATGCCAACAAATACATAAAGGTTTTTTGTTTTGTTTTAACTCAAATCCAGATTTCTGCCTGTGTTTTCTTAACAGTTTGGACTGTATATTCTTAACTAAATTTTACAAGATCAACTGTAGTCTATTCACCATTCATGGCCCTTTATAATCACAAACATCATGCAAAGCACAGAGAATGCCAAGTAAATGTTCCAGATCTCTTTATGTACCTTTTTTAGTTCCCTCTTCCGAGCTTCCTTTCCTAGAGAGAGGGAAGAAAAAGAAAGAGAGAAAAAAAAACTTGAAAGAGTGGCTCAAATCCGCAAACAACCTTTCCTTCTTCAGGACAAGCACTATTTCTCAACAGTTCATTCATTTTGAATTTTTCATTAAATAAAAGGAAATTTTAAAAGCTCATCTTCCCACTGATAGACAAACACAGTATGAAATAGAAATCTATGTCATATGTTTCATATAGAAAGAAAATGCAACACAGCAGTCTTTAGGCCTCTAGAAGCAGCAATGTTTTTATACTGAAAAGAATAACAGACAAAAAAAAAGGCACAGTGATGCATGCAATTGTAAAAGATTGCTGCTGAAATGTAGCGTCAACAAGAAACAATGCCTTTTAAAAATATGCAGGCTTTGAACATGCATCTGAAACAAAGAATGCTCACAGTGGAAGTCTGGTTTTTCTGTTTCTATGTAGCACTGAAAATGCAGTATGTTACAAAAAAGGGAAAACCCCCTCCTGTAAACTGAGCCTTTGCAAAATGTGACATTCCATAAATTCTAGCCTCAGATAGATTACCTCCACCTCAAGGAGCAGCTCAGCCAATAGTTAAGTATAAAAACTACAGAACACTGATAATTACAGTAAAAATTAAGGGAAAGATAGTGCAGAACAGCAACAGCATGCAAGCTAGTAGCCTTCTTGGAAACTTTTACAGCCAAAATGGAAACAGTACTTTTTGGGCTTGGGAAACTCAGTTCCCAGACAGAAGGGATGATCTTATCCTCAGAGAAAGATCTTTATCTGCTTGACTGGGACTCCCCATTCCCTTTTGCTTAGTTTTTATGGGTACTTACGAGCCTGATCTGTGGGATTCATGAATTTCCCACTCTTGGTGGATGATGTAGATCTCCGCCCCATTTTGGCTTTTTTTCTTCTGCTTCAAAATAAAACAAATGAGAAAGACCTGGAAAAGATAACCATAATTTCAGGTCCTATGCATAAGTAGGACACGTGTGCTTATTCATCCTCTTTGTATTAGTAGGTTGACAAACCAAAGAAAACCTCAAGTATTCTAAGATCATCAAATCCTACACAAGTTCAGGCATTCACATCAAAACCATCCTATTTTAATTAAGTACCACTTAACTACTTACTTACAACTACTTTAAGTGCAGACTTTAAACAAGCCAGTTTGTTCTTCACCTCATGGCTTGAACTGGGAAGCTTCTTGCTTTTAGAAAAATAAATTTGTATCCTTCCATAACATAAGCATGTCAGAGCCTTTCTAGCTTTCCACTTAACTGCCTAAGATACCTCTACTTCAAATGTTTCCCATATATATCCTTTTTCCTCCCAGACTTTT